TCTCTCTCTCTCTCTCTCTCTCTCTCTCTCTCTCTCTCTCTCTCTCTCTCTTTCTCTGTCTCTGCTGTCCGTGGTGGAAATTTTGAATGCCAAAGCATATCTATTGAAAAGAAAATGTGAGAGTTATTAGTGTGGATTTTTTTTAAAACAAAAATCAACTCCCCACTTTAACATCAATTGGTCGACTAAGAAAAGCAAAAGCACAGGACAACTGAGCAGAAAACAATTTTTTAAAGCAGTTTTATCAGATGAGGGGGGTCAGAATGGGCAGTTGACGGATGACTGTTGCAGGTCCTTTTCAGTATCTTTACCTCAGTCTACCAGGATTGGATGGGGTGTAAATCAATAGAAATCTAGGCTGTACATTAGCCTTTCATGAGAAAAAACGAAGTCTTTTGTTTACAAAGTAACCCCATAACAAGTGCACCACAAGACCCAAGGGTGGCAGAGAGAATAAAGGGCACGTGAGCTTTACTTGCAAATACATTCTAACAAAAATTGAAGTAGGTATTATATGCTCCTGTCGACACGATTTAGATCATTTGGGAGGCGGGTTTTCGACCATGCCTGCCAGGGCCAACCCGGGCGAGGGGGATACAACGTCCTATCAGAAAGACCGCGAGACACCTCATAAACATTTCTCCCTACTCGGAAATCGGGAATCAAGCTTGGGTCTCTTTCGTGAGACAGTTAAGCGCCTAACCACTATGCGACAGAAGCTGGTCTAATGTTCTTACAAATAAACCGACAAACTAACGGCCAAATAGCAGACAAAAACAAAGTATTTAGATATGTAGACAAGTAAAAAGTTGGACTGTCAGCCTGGTGTGGACACAGTAAACAAAGACAAAATATTCAACACACCTGCATAACTTTGCTGGATGAAACCGGAAGTTCTGCTCCATTCAGGAACCACCTAATGACAGGAAGTGGCGCCCCTTCCGGTCTGCAGTGGAGCGTCAGGTTACCGTTGGCTGAGGCTCGGATGTTGCGGTTCATCGGGTACTTGTTGAAATTTGGAGGGAACTCTGAAAAAGGTCAGTCTCATTTGTTATTTTAAAAAAAGGGAAAGACGGGATGGATAAGCGAAAGCTGATGCCCATTGATACGATTTTGTCTTTCACTTTAAGTGTTTTGTTAGAAGTTAGAATTATATTAATATCATCATCATCATCGTCACCTTCATCATCACGTGCCAGATGAAGGACAGACATATTATGCTATCATGGTTCCTCATTCATTATTTTTTTAGAATTATAAATTTTTTATACAAACCAGGTTCTTAGACGGAGTGTTCTTGACGGAGAGCTTACTTTGACCTGTACTAGCGATTGTTCACGCCGCGGCTGTTAGAAGTCATTTTCCCCCTAGCAAGAATGCAAAAAAAATGTGTCCATTGTCCAGTGAGACCTTACAAAATTCTAAAAATACCAGTAGTTCTTGTGCTAAGACTGTCTTTGCCCGTTTAGATTTAACTACATGTATATTTTTTTTCAAAGAACAACAACTCACTGAGCACCCTGAGTTGTCCCTCGCTGAGTGAAGTCCCCTGGTTGTTGGAGGCCTCACATTGGTACATGCCGTCATGCTTGGCTGGGTCCAGCTTTTTGATGACTAGGACATTGTTGATTACCTAGCGGAGAGAAAGAGATGGTTGTTGTATGTGTATGCCTGAGAGAGAGAGAGAGAGAGAGAGGGGGGGGGA